GCTAAAAGTTTGGAAAATATATTTTGGGGAATAATCAAGGAAAACTTTCCCAGCCTTGCTAGAGACCTAGACACCAAATACAAGAAGCTCAAAGAACACCTGGAAAATTCATCACAAAAAGATCATTGCCTAGGCGCGTTGTCCTCAGGTTACCTGAAGTTAAATTGAAGAAAAGAATCTTAAGAGCTGTGAGACAAAAACACCAGGTAACCTATAAAGGAAAAACTCATCAGTTTAACAGCAGATTTCTCAGCAGAACCCCTAAAAGCTAGAAGGGATTGAGGCCTTATCTTCAGCCTCCTCAAACAAAACAATTATCAGCCAAAAATGTTGTATCCAGTGAAACTAAACTTCATACATGAAGGAAAGATACAATCTTTTTTAGGCAAACAAATAATGAGAAAGTTCACCACTATCAAGACAACACTACAAGAACTGCTAAAAGGAGCTCTAAATCTTGAAGCAAGTTCTGGAAACACATCAAAACACAACCTCTTTAAAGCATAAATCTCATAGGACCTATAAAACAAACATATAATAATAAAAAAACCAGCAAAATCACAAAAACCAAGGTACACAAACAACAAATAGCACAAAGAATTCAACTCTCACCATTCAACTATCTGCTGCCTTCAAGAGATGTGCCTAACACGTAAGGACTCACATAAACTTAAGGTAAAATGGTGGAAAAAGACATTCCATGCAAATGGACACCAAAACTGAGCAGGAGTAGCTATTCTTACATCAGTTAAAATAAACTTTAAAGCAACAGTGGTTAAAAAGACAAGAGGTCATTATATAATGATAAAAGGTCTTGTCCAACAGGAAAATGTTAAAGTCCTAAATAAACATGCACCTAACCCTGGAGGTCCCAAATTTATAAAACAATTACTAATACAACTGAGAAACGAGATAGACAGCAACATGATAATGGGGGGAATTCAATACTCTGCTGACAGCACTAGACAGTCACCAAGACAGAAAGTCAGCAAAGAAACAATGGATTTAAACTATACCCTGGAACAAATGGACTTAATAGGTATTTACAGAACATTCTACCCAACAACCACAGAATATACATTCCATTCAACACCACATGAAACTTTCTCCAAGACAGACCATATGATAGCTCTCAAAACGAGCCTCAATAAATTTAAGAAAATTGAAATTATATCAAACACTCTCTCAGACCACAATGGAATAAAGCTGGAAATCAAGTCAAAAAGGAACCTTTAAAACCATGCAAATACATGGAAAAAAAAATAACCTGCTCCTGAATGACCACTGGGTCAAAAATGTAATCAACATGGAAATTAGGCGGGGCATGGTGGCTCATGCCTGTAATCCCAGCACTTTGGGAGGCTGAGGTGGGTGGATCACAAGGTCAGGAGTTCTAGACCAGCCTGGCTAACATGGTGAAACCCCACCTCTACTAAAAATACAAAAATTAGTCAGGTGTGCTGGTGGGCACTTGTAGTCCCAGCTACTTGGGAGGCTGAGGCAGGATAATCGCTTGAACCCAGAAGGCAAAGGTTACAGTGAGTTGAGATTGTGCCAATGAACTTCAGCCTGGGCAATAAGAGTGAAAACTCCATCTCAAAAAAAAAAAAAAAACTCCATCTACACTACTGGTGGCAATAAAACTAGTAGAGCCACTATGGAAAACAGTGTGGAGATTCCTTAAAGAACTGAAAGTAGAACTACCATTTGATCCAGCAATCCCACTACTGGGTATCTACCCAGAGGAAAATAAGTCATCTATGAAAAAGATGCTTGCACACACATGTTTATAACAGCATAATTCACAATTGCCAAACTGTGGAACCAACCCAAACGCCCATCAATCAACAAATGGATAAAGAAACTGGTACATATATATACGATGGAATACTCAGCCATAAAAAGGAATGAATTAGTGGCATTTGCAGTGACCTGGATGAGACTGGAAACTATTATTGTAAGTGAAGGAACTCAGGAATGGAAAACAGAACATTGTATGTTCTCACTCATAGTGGGAGCTGGGCTGTAAGAATGACACAGTGGACTTGGGGACTCGGGGGGAAAGGGTGTGAAGGGGTGAGGGATAAAAGGCTGCAAGCTGGGTGCAGTGTGCACTGCTTGGGTGACGGGTGCACCAAAATCTCACAAATCACCGCTAAAGAGCTTACTCATGTAACCGAACACCACTCGTTCCCCAGTAACTTATGAAAATAAAAAAATTCCAACATGAACATAATTCATAATCCACTAACTCCACTTTGTGTTATGTCCCTGGAGATACATATCGGTGTGCATGAGGAGGGCTGTGTAGCTTTCAGGTGTTTGGCTCGTTCATAGCTACAGATTTCCTGCGGTGGATGGGGGGTTTGCAGCACACAAGGGAACATCATCTGGCTGGCCACATCCCCACTCCGCTGAGACCAGGAGCGAGGGCCTCCGACTGTCCCTCCTGCCTTGACAAACACAAATTACCCCAATAGCAGCTGCAGACTTGTGAGAATGAGTCCTCCTCCTTCTCCTCAGGCTGCTTTTCACCTGCTCTTCCCCAAACCAGCTAAACTCCAGGAGAGCCCCAAAGGTGGAACCCCCACGAAGACAGTTCTCCCAGCACAGCTCCCCATCCAAGGTGCTCCCTCCTTGCTGGGCGTCCCTAATCACCCCAACCCCTCTCAGGCATCTAGGCTACCAGCAAAACAGCAGTAACAATGCACATTCACTGAATTCCTTCTCCAAGCCTCGTTTTGCAAATTTGATGTCATTTAATTTTAACTGCTACATTATTAGGTGGGAAATACACTCTTTTTACATACAACAAACCTATACACACACAGCTAATAAGTTACAAGGCAAGCCTGGAACCCAAGGCCTGAGAGAGAACAGGGGCCAAGCTCCACGGCCTCTCCAGGCTGCATAATGCAGTCATTTTTGCAGAGATTCTACTTGGGAGCCGCTTAGTTGGGAATGTGGGCCTCTGCTTGGCAGACTGTTCATTGCTGGAGATACAGGTGCCTCTGCAGGACCTAATAGCTCCAGTGTTAACAGATGAGACCTCTGGGGTCCTGGGTGGTCAAGAATGAACACTAGGGCCAGGCGCAGTGATTCACACCTGTAATCCCAGCACTCTGGGAGGCAGAAGCGAGTGGATCACGAGGTCAGGAGATTGAGACCAGCCTAGCCAACACAGTGAAACCCAGTCTCTAATAAAAATAAAAAAATTAGTCGGGCATGGTGGTGCCCGCCTGTAATCCCAGGTACTCAGGAGGCTGAGGCAGGAGAATCACTTAAATCTGGGAGGTGGAGGTTGCCGTGAGCTGAGATTGCGCCACTGCCCTCCAGCCTGGGCAACAGAGTGAGACTTCATCTCA